AATTCCACCAGAATGACTGACAATGAGAAACAGTTATTTAAATAAACAGTATTTGTCAGTGGTATTTCACTGATTCAAATTCAGAGTGTAAGTTTTTGGTTAAAGCACAATTTCTAGGATGTCAGCTTAGAATTATAATAATAATGTTTGTACGCAAAAAAGTAATTTTTGATGAACAAATTAATCAGCTTCATATAATATAACTTTTGAGGAAAATCTTGATGCACTTACAAGCCTGCTCATAACGTTCCACATCAATCTTGTAGCGTTTAAGTAACCTGGGGGATTAACATAATCGCAATCCATTTAAGTGATTTATAGCACGTGCATGGGATTGCACCGGCAAAGTCTTTGACGCTAATGACAGTAATGATATTTCTGCAGCAATAATAATTCATGGCATTTCCGATTCGCACTGTCCATACGTATATAGAAACGCAGTTTTTTTAGTTAAATATAAATTAAAAATTATCCTTATAATATAAGATAATATATACAAAACTGTTGATTTATTTCCTTTGCGTTTAATCCATAGGGATTTAAGCTCATCTCTACCACTTCTCGTCTGCAATCAGTTATTTTCCCAAATAAATTTAAAATACCCTAAACAATAACAAGGCCGGATAAAATTCAAATGCTCGTGATATGTGATTGAATTTAAATAGTCGAAATTTGCATAAACGTGTTTGCCATTTAATTATATATCGAGTTTTGCACCCGTTTATATTCTCGGTACTTTCAATATCAAATAGAGTTTCATTTTCGTTTCAGAAAAAATGAGAAGAAAATTTATTCAGTTGGCTTTTAATTAACATTTTAATGTACATACATAGTTGCACAATTGTGTGTACATTAATTTGTGTACATTTTATTGTTTGTTAATTGTATTACGTAATGACTTTTGCTTTGTGAACTCAAGGATGAAAGTTATCCGACTGTAAAATTAATTTACGACTCAAACTTTGTTATACTCTTGTAGCGCAATGTTTACCATAATTGTTGTGCGATGTTTCAAATTTTAAAACAATTATATTCAACATACCGCAAAAAATAGAGAAACAATTGCAAGTTTATGATTATCATTCATTTTTGCCAGCCAAAACACACTTTTTTGTTTCGTTGTGTAAAATGCAATAAAATGATATTCTGGTTTTGTTAGATATTTTTTCTTATTAGCTAATAAAATGAAAAACAGTATTAGGGTTGTTTACCTGACTCGGGACAATTGTAACAGGGGCGCGACAATAATACGGTAGAAGCAACAGTGGACGGCCGTGAGCTTTGACCCGGTGACCCGGAGTGCGTAGGCTGCTGGAGGGTAGGTGGAGGACCGGGAGCCTACTCTCCATCTCCCCTCTAGCTCACTCGTATTCCCTTTGCTTCTCTCTCTGTCTATCTCTCTACATGCGGGTTGGAATCGATACCTGCCTACCCTGCAGTACAACCTACTCCGCCTAGACTCGGTTCTTCCTTAAAATGAGGCACAAATTTATCTTATTCTCAAACGGATCATTTCAAAATTTTATCTTATCAAATGGATATTAACATGTTTTTAATAACTTGTCAAAAGTTTGCATTCTTTTTCTTTTTTATTGGCAGGTATCAATCTACTGTAATAATTACTGAAAATTAATGGAAAAAACAGGTTATTAATGTACACATTTTTCTCCTAAAATAGAAGAATTTCTTTCTCTTTTTGTTATTCATTAAACACTTTATTATGTAATAGTTGTTGTTTATATTCTTCCTGATATATTTACTTTAAAGTATTCAATATTCTAAAAAATGGCAAATGTCAACTGCCCAATCATCAATTTGGACCTCGAATTATTATAATCAGTAACCCTAAAATCATCTACAAAAACTACACAACAATATTAGTTATCACTTATACAGCATTATACATTATTACTTTTCTCAGTGTGAAATGAATTTTATACATATTCTAATCGTAATTATTTCTATTATAAAAGCAGAAAAGTATTCATTTACTTTATCTATTATCGCATTATCATAATTATTTTCTTTAAACGTTTACTAGAGTTACTGTATAGCACTTGTCGTCGTTTCTTGTGTCAGAAATTGGTTTTTTTAGAGTAAATATAATGTCAGTAGCATATGCGACACGAGAAGATTTATCACAGTTTTCTAAAAGTCTAAAAGTTCCAAGCTATGAATAGGATGGTTTTAAAAAATTTATTTGTATTTCTTTCATGCTTTCTATTATCTTTGTGATTTGTAAATAAAACTTTTTTAAAACAAAATATTTTTTTTTCTCAAAGTTTCATACATGTAAATTACATAGATATCGAATCCCGTGCAGAAAGTTTGACCGGGCCCTGGTCGGGGCCAGATCGGGAAATCTGGCTTAGCCCCGACATGGAATTTTTCCGATTTGACCGCCACTTAAATTTTTGTAGAAATATCATAATTTATATAATTAATAAATAAACACTATAAAATTAAGATTGTATAATTTTAATTTGAACTTGTTATTTTATTTGCTAATAAAAAAGAATTGAATTTTTTAAATTCTTTTTGGTGATACAATAAAAACAGTTTACTTTTAGAGATTTTTAACAAGTAAAAATTGCATTTGAATAAACATTATAATTTTTAGTCAATAAGAAACAATTTTTATGACATAACCTTAAATTTGACAAACGTTTATTATAAAATTCTTAAAATTTTAATTTTTATTCAAATGAACCTTTTAATTATGTTAAAAATAGAATTGTTTATATCCTTCGATCAAAACCGTGTTTAACAGAACGATCTTTATATACAATACAGGAGAGATAGAGTTTGTTTGGTTTAACCGAAAGAGCGGCGACTACTATCGATTGAACTCTTCTACATGTAGGGGAGAGCGGGGCAAAGCCGCTATGTGGGGCAAAGGCGTTTTTCAAAATATCTTCCTTCTTTCTTATCTAATACAATTTTTGTTTACAGTTTATTATTAATATGATTAAAGCAATTAATTAGAAAAGAAAAAAACTCGAAAATATTAAGTACAATAAGAAATATAATATAAAAATAGTTTTTGCAAGGAAGAGATGAAAATTTCGTTGATCGAAGATTCAAATTTAAAAAATAGTTTTAAGCACTTGGGTCTTAAAAATATTTCGATTGAATAAATGAATCATTTATCTACACGATCTGCATTAAATTTAAATTCATTTTTTTATTTATATAAGTGAAATTTTAAAAATAAAAAATGTTTGTCATTGGGGGCAAAGCCGTTTAAAAAATGTTTTGTAAAAACAGTTGAAAATGAAAATCTGCATTACCTTTAGACATGAAGGATTTCTAACTTCAAGCGCATCAAATGTCAACAAAAATGTTATATATTTTATTCAATAAAATAACTCCAAAATTTGTCTATTGGTAAATATTGTTATTCTTAAAAAATGTTTGTAAACAATATATGTATGTATATCAATATAATGTATATTATTATTAATTTAAAATACAATTAAACAATAAAAAAATGTACTTTTAAATATTATTAATAATTAAAAATACAATTACAAAATAAAAAGAAATTATTATAAAACTAGCAAAATTACACGCGCGCAAGCGCGCGTCCAACTTTAATTGCAATGGTTATTTTAAAATAATAATAATAATAATAATAATAATAATAATAATAATAATAATAATAATAATAATAATAATAATAATAATAATAATAATAATAATAATAATAATAATAATAATAATAATAATAATAATAATAATTCTGCATCAATGGAGAAATAAATTAATAATAGGTATATTTCTAATTTTCACGTTATCATTTATTTATACACAGAAAAAAATGAGTTTGATGTTATATAAATAAATAAATTTAAGTAAAAATTTTAAAATATAAATATTAAAGTTTTAGAAATAAATATTTTTGATAAAGTCAATGTTCGATGAATTTTTTATAATCTTTCAAATTACAAAAAATTAATTATGCTAAATATTTTTTTGTATTTTCTATAAATATTTCGTTGCAAATGAAAATTTTAAAATGTTTTTTTTTTCAAAAAATTTAATTAACTGATAATTAATAAATATTAAAAAATTATGTAATCAAAAAAAAAATTTAAATTAACAGAAAATTATTAATTATATTTTAAAAAGTAAAAAATTAAATTAAAAAATATTTAAAAATTTTGAAAAAATAAAACCTAAAAAAAATTTGTAATGTTTTAAACTTTAAACTTAAATTAAAAATTAAAATCAAATTGAAAATTTTTTAAAAAAGCAAACTATTTTTATATTGTTTATAGATAAAAAAATATAACAATTTAATAATTAATAATAAAAACAAATTAATAATAATAAATTTATGAATAATAATTTATAATAAATAATAATGAATAATGAAAAAATAATGAAAGATAAATAATAATTATAAGTTAAAATGTTCTAATTATCTGTAATAATCATTATATTTAAAAAAATGTATATATAATATAATAAATTTATAAATAATAATAAAAATTATATTATAATTAAAACTTTTTTTTCTATAAATACCAAGTAGGAAATATACTGGTGCTGCACACAATGAACAATATCTTTTTTTACTTTAAACTGTCACTTACAATATATGACTTAATTAATGACGATGAATAAAAATATCCGTCATGTTAACCATAAAATATTACGAAATCAAGAATTGTCAAAATTTTAGAAAAACAAAAGGAACAAAATACGACTAACTTCAAGTGTGGACAGACGGAATGAATGAATGAATACGGAAATTATTATAGTTAATAATATACAAATATCCATTAAATGAAAACAAATATTTTAATTTCATTTTATTTACAGACTTCAATTTTATTTTTTAAATTTCAAATTTCCCATTTTTCACACTGCGCATGTGCATGCATTTCTGACGCTGAAAGCATAAGGGCCAACGCACAATAGCTTCGCGAAAGTCGTTCGCGAACGAGATGCATGAGATAGAAAAGGATACGAATATATCGCTTTCGCGAAGCTATTCTGTTTAGGCCTTTAATCATTACATTGAATTTATCCTCTTTTTTTTTTATTGTTTTTTTAATTCACTGTTTGTTTTTTATTCACTTATAAAAAAGGTGGTTGACATTAAAAAAAAAATATGAATGTGTTGAAATAGAAAAAAATAGATTAATACAGATCTAAAATTTACTTATTAAAAGTTGATCGTTTTGAATTCAAATTCGCCATTTTGGTATAGTTTCATACGACAGGAAGTGTCGACTTGTGGCGCTACCAGTAAACTTCCACTAAAACCATTTCTTCCTCATGTTCCTCATTGTTCTACTCGTCGCAGAGAGAAGTGTAAGTAAAAAAGTGAATTCTTTGTTAATATCATTTGAGTGTTTAAAATTTTTTTTATTGATCTATTCGGTGTTCTTGTTAGTTATTTTATTCGTCCGAAATTCAGAAATACTCTTCAAATAAGTAAGAATCGGGTTCTAAATTGAATTAAAATAGTAAATTTTTGCGGTGTGAGATTCTATGTCCGCCCCATTTTGTGCACGCTTGGCTTGGCGTCATTTTTTCCCCACAATCGTAGAATGTGGTTCACAGAATTTTTGCGTTATTAATCGATAAATTTTTGTAAAAATAGATATTATTTCGGTATTTCTGTATTTTATTTACAAAATTAATCGAATTTATAATATATTGGATGATGGAATAATCGTTAATAGTAAATATATTCATCGTAAATGGAAGTGCAATTTTTTCTCACTCTAGAAGCATCGGTGCTATTTTCTCTATTATTTTACTTTGCTCGCGATCAAAAATATATTGCCAACTTGTGACGTCACACACATAATGTATATATATATTTATTTATTTCAAAAAATTATTTTCAATCTATTCATTAATACTTAATTATATAATATATAATTTCAACAATATATTATAATAATCTTAATTAATTAATAATAGTATTAATATTTAAATATATTAAATTGTGTATTTTCACTTAAAAATTTCACAACATAACCTATAATTTTAGTTTCTAATGTCCCTTTCTTCAGATCGCGTCACATATTCAAAAAACAAAACAAAACTCAAAAATGTGTCTATCAATAAATATTATTATATTTAAAAAATATTTGTAAACTAATTAAAAGTATTTTATCTATTTATTTTTATAAAATAGAGTTTGTTTAACTAGAAAAAACAATTTCTATAGTATTATTTTCTTCTTGCAGTTAACGTTTTATTTGGAAATCCTCAGTTTCATCGTTCTGATTTGAAATAATCAGTTGCATTGTCAGTTACCATTTTTGCGTTTTGAAAGAATCAATTGCAACGTCACTTACCGGTATTCTTGGATATCCTGCATTTCACTTGTCATTTTCTGCTTTCGTGTGAGGTAAGAATTTTTAATAAAAAATATTGAGATTTTAATTGGATTTTCTTAAAATTATATTCCCCGCGATATTACGGGTATAAATGTAAAGGGATTACACAATCGATATTATTCTTATTTTCAATTATTACATATTGCCATTTTAATTTTTTTTAATATTTAAATATTAAGAAAGATTAATTTTATTAATTTATTGAATATTATTATATTATTATTAATTTATTCTTATAAAATAGAATTTGTTTAACTGGAAAAAATTATTTCCATAATTTTATTTTCTTTTTCCAAATTTCAAATCAATTTTGTGTAAAAAAATAAAAAAAAAATCGTCCATGGGAAAACAGAATTATTTTTAAAAATTATTTTTTGCATTTATTCTTATAAAATAGAGTATGTTTAACTAAAAAATATTATTACCACAATTTTATTTTCTTTTTCCAAATTTTTAACCAATTATTTTCAAAAAAAAGAAACTTAAAAATGTGTCTATCAATAAATATTATTCTATTTAAAAAATATTTGTAAACCTATTAAAAGTATTTTATCTATTTATTTTTATAAAATAGAGTTTGTTTAACTAGAAAAAACAATTTCTATAGTATTATTTTCTTCTTGCAGTTAACGTTTTATTTGGAAATCCTCAGTTTCATCGTCAATCATCGTTCTGATTTGAAGATACCGTTTTTGCGTTTTGAAAGAATCAATTGCATCGTCACTTACCGGTATTCTTGGATATTCTGCATTTCACTTGTCATTTTCTGCTTTCGTGTGAGGTAAGAATTTTTATTAAAAAATATTGAGATTTTGATTGGATTTTCCTAATATTATATTCCCCGCGATATTGCGGGTATAAATGTAAAGGGATTACACAATCGATATTATTCTTATTTTCAATTATAACATATTGCCATTTTAATTTTTTTAATATTTAAATATTCAAAAAGATTAAATTTATTAATTTATTGAATATTATTATATTATTATTAATTTATTCTTATAAAATAGAATTTCTTTAACTGGAAAAAAATTATTTCCATAATTTTATTTTCTTTTTCCAAATTTCAAATCAATTTTGTGGAAAAAAATAAAAAAAAAAAATCGTCCATGGGTAAACAGAATTATTTTTAAAAATTATTTTTTGCATTTATTCTTATAAAATTGAGTATGTTTAACTAAAAAATATTATTACCACAATTTTATTTTCTTTTTTCAAATTTTTAACAAATTATTTTCAAAAAAAAAAAAATTAAAAATGTGTCTATCAATAAATATTATTATATTTAAAAAAAATTTGTAAACCTATTAAAAGTATTTTATCTATTTATTTTTAAAAAATAGTGTTTGTTTAACTAGAAAAAACAATTTCTATAGTTTTATTTTCACCTTGCAGCAACCGTTTTGATTGGAAATCCTCTGTTTCATCGTCAATCATCGTTCTGATTTGAAATAATCAGTTGCATTGTCAGTTACCATTTTTGCGTTTTGAAAGAATCAATTGCAACGTCACTTACCGGTATTCTTGGATATCCTGCATTTCACTTGTCATTTTCTGCTTTCGTGTGAGGTAAGAATTTTTAATAAAAAATATTGGGATTTTGATTGGATTTTCCTAATATTATATTCCCCGCGATATTGCGGGTATAAATGTAAAGGGATTACACAATCGATATTATTCTTATTTTCAATTATAACATATTGCCATTTTAATTTTTTTAATATTTAAATATTCAAAAAGATTAAATTTATTAATTTATTGAATATTATTATATTATTATTAATTTATTCTTATAAAATAGAATTTATTTAACTGGAAAAAATTATTTCCATAATTTTATTTTCTTTTTCCAAATTTCAAGTCAATTTTGTGGAAAAAAATAAAAAAAAAAAATCGTCCATGGGTAAACAGAATTATTTTTAAAAATTATTTTTTGCATTTATTCTTATAAAATTGAGTATGTTTAACTAAAAAATATTATTACCACAATTTTATTTTCTTTTTTCAAATTTTTAACCAATTTAATATGTAATACAATCTGAAGAAAGGGACATTAGAAGCAAATGAATTGTAGGTTGTGTTTACGACAGTTTTACTTGAACTAAAAGTTTATTTTTGATTTTGTAAGACTGATATCAGATTTATTGAATATTTTGAATGTAAAGAAGATATATTAATATTATTTTGCATTACAAGTTGAACTTCTTTGTGTATTTTCACTTTAAAATTTCACAACATAACCTATAATTTTATCTTTTAAAGTCCCTTTCTTCAGATCACGTCACATATTAAAAAAAAACTCAAAAATGTGTCTATCAGTAAATATTATTATATTTAAAAAATATTTGTAAACCTATTAAAAGTATTTTATCTATTTATTCTTATAAAATAGTGTTTGTTTAACTAGAAAAAACAATTTCTATAGTTTTATTTTCACCTTGCAGTTATAGTGTTGATTGGAAATCCTCAGTTTCATCGTCAATCATCGTTCTGATTTGAAGTAATCAGTTGCATTGTCAGTCACCGTTTTTGCGTTTTGAAAGAATCAATTGCATCGTCACTTACCGGTGTTCTTGGATATCCTGCATTTCACTTGTTATTTTCGGCATTAGTGTGAGGTAAGAATTTTTAATAAAATATTGAGATTTTGCATGGATTTCACTAAAATTATTTACCCCGAGATATCTCGGATCTAACCGCAGATGGGATAACACAATCGATATTGTTCACATTTTTACTTGAGAGGCTGATAGTAAAAGTGGGTTATAATTTGAATGGGAGTAATAATGGGTTAAAAGCTTTGCGAGCAAAAACGGGTTAAGATATTTTGATTAATTTATCTATTTAGAAGAGATATTGATGACTATTCTTTGGGACGCATGAATATTCCCTTCATTAGATTTGGCGGATCTTTTTTGGTGTCAAATTAAAAATTATCGAATTTACATTTAGTAGAATTTAAAAAAAAAGATTTTATAATGAGCCCAATTTTAATATAAAAAAATTACTATTTAACAAATTTCTGATTTTGTAGAATTTCTATTTAACTGGACTGTGATAGAGCAGATTTTCTAATAAATCCAATTTTCAAGTAATACAATTTCCATATGACAAAATTTATATCTCGAAAAATGTTTATTAAAAAAATTTTTTATGTATTAGAATTGTTCTTTTGTCGAAGTTCTATTTATCCAAATATTCACTTAAAAGTGTTTTAATAAACAGAATTTCCAATTAAAAGAATTTCTATATAAAAAAATTCTCATTTAACAAAAGTTTTATTCAAAAAATTTCTATAGAATCTAATTTTTATTTGATAATGTAGTCATTTGACAGAAATTCTTCTAAGCTAAATTTTTAAGACAATTCTATTAACCCTATAAAAAGAAACTGAATTTTCTCACCCTCTAAAGGGTAACTGGGGTGTCCATACACCCTTCAAACTTATGTAAAAAGGTTTCTATTTGACATAAAACTAATTATATATAGTGATTTATATTGGTTTTTAGTAAGGAAAACAATAGTTTTACTGATTTTTTGATAAAATAAAAAAAAAAAAAACTTGAAAAAAAGAAAAAAAAATGAAAAATTTGTCAAATTTGTCTTTTTTTAAAAAAATGTTTTAGTTTTTCGAAAATTTGACTATTTAAAAATAATCTATCAGATTTTGAAAGGTGAAAAAATATTGTTTTTTGCATTAATTAAAAAAATATAATTTCTTGAACAACTAAAGTGCAAAAAAATAGAAGAAAATTGACCAATTGAAAAAATGACAAAAATTAATTATTAAATAGATTTTATCAATTAATATTTATTAAAATAGGTGTTATAAATAAAAAAGTTCACAAATTGAATATGCATATAATATATGTGAATATATTATTATCAATTATAATTCTCAATTGAAATTTCATATCAAGTTATAAATAAAAAATGTTTTTTCTAACAATATATATGTTTTGTTTAAAAATGTATTTTTGCAACACTAACCTCTAAAGTTAAATTAAATTTTACATAAAATTTAAATTCACTTATTTTGTGAATTTTGTAACGTTAGGGGGTAACAATAGTTTTTAATTTGACACTACAAAAATTCCGTCAAGTCTAATGATGGGAACATTTTCTTTTAAAATTATTATTTAAATAAATATTTTAAACCTGAAATTACTATAAAAACCCATTTTTGCTCGCAATTTTTTTATATCACACTTTTGTTCGCACTCAAATTTTACTCCACTTTTGCTATCTGACCCTCACTTATTACTTATTGCCATTTTAATTTTTTTTATATTTAAATATTAAGAAATATTAAAATTATTAATTTATTAAATATTATATTATTATTTTTTTACTCAGGTCTTGTTGTGTTACGAGTCTATCAACTTGGATCATTATTGGAGTTTTAATTGAATTTGTTGTCAACAATGCTTTTGCTGAATGTTGTAAGGAATCTTTGCTTTGCTGCATTGGACAAGATTCTGCGTGTGTCGTGCAAAAAACATTATCGAATGTCATTATAGAAACTTTTTTTGATAAACCGTGTTATTGTACATGTATATAGTTTTAAGATAGATTTTAGTTAATTGTTTAACATTTATTATTGTAATGAGTGATAAGAAAAAAGAAACAAACAAATCTCCTCCATCACGTGCAGATATTGAAAATGCACAACGTCGCGTTGAACAAATAAATGCGATTAATAGACGCAATGTTTCGCGACAATTTGTTCCATTGTTGCCAAGGCGTAGTGATAATAATTCGGGCAGTAATCATAATTCAAATAGTGTTGATAGTAATCGTATTCGTACAGTGTACAGTAGATTTACTCCCTTATTTCCGCGTCGTTGTCAACAATCTGACAATGGTCAGAATTGTAATGTGAATCGAGTACGTCGACAGTTGTTTCCTCCGCGTGATGAAGAACATTTAAATCAAGAACAAAGTGCATCTACAAGTGTTAATTTTGTTTACCGTCAAGATCAATCTCAAGAAATAATACCCACGAATCATCAACAGTTGTTTCCTCTTCAACAAGACGCACATTTAAATCAAGAGCCAAATGCATTGCCAAGTTTCAATTTTGTTTACCGTCAAGATCAATCTCTTCAAGAAGACATCTCCGCTGATCATCGACAACCTGAGCAACCTTTTCTTAACGACGAAAATACTGTAATGTCAATTAATGACAATTATCAGCCTTTTATATCAAACATCAACAATGACGATAGAACTTTGTCGTGGCAAAAAAATTTAAATCTTTTAAATATTGAATCAAGTGAATCTGGCGATTTGGGTGAAGAAAATGAATTTCAACGCTGTCCAATTCCAAGGAAGCGATTTAAATTAAATTTAGGCAGTGATAAAAGAAGCGAAAAAACAACAAACGAAGCTGAAAATGAAAAAAACACGCCAACAGAGAAATTTGAATTACCAAAATCGTTATCGACACAAAAAAATTATGCCAACGAACCACAACCGTCAACAAGTAAACAAGCTGATGTACAAGATGCAGTTTCATTTATATCAATGGTCACAAAGAAGTCAATGAAGAAAACTACTGATAAAATACAGAATACCCGTAAAAAGACTCCCAAAAAACAATCATTGAAAAACAAAAAAGAAACACCTCAAAAAGTCGATAAATCATCAACAACAGCAGTAGACGACAACGACGATGATGATGATGATGATGATGATGAAGATTTAAAACTTCAAACAAAATTTACGATAAAGACTGGTTTTTCTGATTCTTTTTGTTGCTGTCCAGAACTTCGGGATTTGGTAATTAATCAAGTGAAAGTGCTATCGAGAATGACTATATTGGTTACAATTTTTATAAACTTTGCACTTCGTCATCCCACAAATGATTATTTACGTAAAATCTGGTCCGAACAAGGTCCCGATTATAATTCAATATTTCCGTTGTTTAAAGAAAATTCTACAGAACCAAGAACTGATGCAAAAAAAGAAATGCATAATAAATTGAAAAATGAATTTATTCCTCAGTTTAGTGAGTTCATGGGTGGCAAATTTGAATTATTTAATTGCACAAATCTCTCTTCTCAAATACAGGAAATGGCAATTCAATTAAATGTCAATTACTTGACAAATCTTCATTATCATGCCAGGAGTCGACTTGCTACGTTCTTCAAACATGAATTATTTAAAAAAAACAAATCTACAATGAAATTGAATAAAAAGGAAACTACAGAACGCCAACAGGAGCGAACAAGAGTTTACCGTGAAAAAAAATTAATTCGTAGATTACGTAACAAGAAAAAAAGGGAGAAGTGGGCAAAAAAAAAGAAAAAAATAAAACAACTGTATCGAGAAGAAAGAAGAGCAAGACGTGCTGAATTAGAAAGGTTACATCCCTATGAGCCGCATGTGGAAAAATTAATTTTTAGAAACGTTAAAAAATTAAAACAAAATCGCGATATAATACAAAGACAAATTGTTTATGATTTACCTCCAAAAGGCAAAAATAGAGGTAAAAAATATCGAGAACGTTTAACATTAAAAAAAAACAACAAAAACTGGGAAAAACCATCACGTAAGAATAAATCATCGAAGCCATCGACAAAAAAAAGTAAAATTATTAATTCTAAAGAGGCCACAAAAAAAGTGCAGGACAATGAAGAGGAGGAAGAATTGAATCATAGGAAAATCATTAAAACAAAACTTGACAATCTTCTCAAATACAATGAATGTGATAATGAAACTCTGAAGGCCTTGAATTTGGAAAATTTGGATTTTCGAGATCTTAAAAGAAGAAAGGAATGTCACAAATTTTTTATATTTTTTCATCGTTTACAAGATTATTTTGCACGTGAAGGAATCAAAAGTTTTATTCTTGTACCAATCATGAGTCCTGGTCTAAAGTACATTACGTACACGAATACGGCGTTAAAACTGTTGGAAAATGAATTGAAAAAAGTAGCACCAGATTATACATGTACTAAAAAAGCACCGGAAAAGTTTACCGTCAATGAAATTACAGCACAAGAACTCATGCACAAAGACATTATTTCGCCATTAAAAGAAAAATCAAAGTTGCTGCATGCTGAAAAAATTGGTTTGGAAAGAAATTTTCAATATTTGGAAAAAGCAAATAATCCAAAAAATTCAGAAGAATTGTCAAACATAAAAAATCAAATAAAAGAAATTACAAAAAAATTGACTCCAATCAAAAAGGAAATACAATTGGAGAACAAACGACATCAAGACATTAAAAATCAACGACGTCCGGAGAAAATTAATGAAAATGATGAAAGATGGAACAACATGTTTGACATATCTAAAATACAAGTCAACAAAGAGAAATTGAAATTTTCCAAAACAATAATGACGGATGGTGTGGCTGTGTCTGTAATTTATAATCTTGTTAAACCAAAAAATATAACAAATTTTTCTCCTTTACAGCAACAAGAATCGCGAGATTTAACAAAATATGAAGTGTTCAAGGGTCTTGACCCAGGTTTGAAATTTGGATTTGCTGGAGTAGAAAGAAAAATGAATGATAATTTCGATATTAAATGTATAGATAAACATATAAAAATTTCTACAAAATCTTACAGATGGCAAACTCAGGAGAATAAGAGACAAAGCATTCTTTATAATGAGACAAAAAATTATAAAAAATATTATCACGATTTGCAAGTAAGTGAAAAATATCGTGACAAAGTAAATCACAAAGATCCTCAACAAATTTTAATATCAACAGAATATTTATTGACAGCGCTAAAACGAAACCAACCTTATTTTGAAAAACGAAAAATAGCGGCTTTGAAATGGGACAAGTACATGTCAGTACAACGTGAAACAGATCTCTTAGCAAATTACATGGTTGGCGATGTAAAGAGGAAACAACTGTTGGTGATTGGATCACCTGAAATATCACCATGGATGCGTGGCCACGTGCGGATGCCGTTAAGAAAAGTTGTGAGGAGATTAATCGAAAAGCAATCTAAATATCCAAATTTACGAATTGTTTTTATCGATGAACATCGAACCACAAAACTTTGCAGCACTTGCAACGAAAACATGGACATTTTCAGAAACAGAACAGCTTATTGTGCATCATGTAAAATCTCATGGAATCGTGATGTAAACGCGGGTAGAAACATTTTAAATTTGGGACTTGTGAAATTGGGAATAATAAATAAAGAACAATTGCCAAATTGGAGTGATTTTCGAGCGTTAAAAAATATCCAAGATTGGAATGAATAGGGGGAGATTTGTCTTTCCAATAGTCTTCTCACTAGATGAGGGGTAAAGGGGTTAGTTTAATACTGACTCTTTTTTACATGTCCGTAAGGACGTAGGGAAAAGCGAGGCAAAGCCGCTAATGTAACTCTATTTTTTATTTCATTATATTTTCGCGCGGTTATTTCAATTGTTTTTCAATTTGAATAGATGGTAAAGTAGATATTTTAATGAAACAGTGGAGAATCTAATTCAAAATGTGAGGTTAAAAATACAAGTAATGATTATTTTTTATAAAATATCTCAAATTCTTTTAAAAAAATGTACTAAATACTTATGTTTCAAAGATATTCGGCCATTTACTGCAAGTTCGTACAGTTTTAACGGCTACAATTTTCTTCCTTTTAAAAATATAAGCAAAAACGTCGCTGCCCCGCCATAAGGGGCAAAGCCGTTTTTTTGCATCTTCTTGAAAATAATTAAATTAAATAATCATGCTTATAATAAATTAAAGAATTATTATTAAAATTTGTTGTTAATTAGTTTGAAATTAATTAGAAAAAAAATCACGTAAATTGATGGTGTAATAACGAAAATATTTAAAAATAAACGTTACATTAGCGTCTTTGCCCCGCTCTCCCCTATACTCTATCATACACCTGCATACATATTATGAACTCTGAAGGTTATCACCTTGTGTGAAAGATTATGACATCCCAGATTTCTATCTTCCTCCCGCCCATCTTCACGTCTCGTGTGTCATTCAAATAGCGAGTCACAATTTTTTTTTAAATTTAATTTATGAGGTTTTGAATAAAAATAAAATGTTTATTTTTCCTTCATATATGAAAAAGATACACTATAGATTAATGCTCTTTCCGCAATGTGAAATTACTTTTGTTGGTGGAGGCGAAAAAAACAAGTAGCAAAGAAATGGAATTTCTTCTCCGTTGAAATATACCAAGTCGAGCCTCGCGGTACATTGTGTGCAAATTGAATTTTATACTTTAATGAGAGAGGTTAGGTACATTTGTAAATACATGATTTTTTGCTCTTTTTATTTTTTATTTCATGTTTTTCATCTTCCACTTTGTTTACCTTTTTACATAAAATTTCCTCCAAAAAGATTCCTTTCTAAATCACTGTCTAATAAAATATTTGTTTGCAATTTTCGTATCTCTTTAGTATTTAGGGATATTTTTTAGATAATTGTAAATTATTATTATTTTATGAGAAATATTGTCGCAAAATTACTACCAGCTTCAATTGTCTCACCAATGGCAAGCTTGCCACGCAAGCTCAAGGCAAACTTACTGAGCATGAATAACTGTAAAGAATATAACATTTTTATATTTTCAAACAATCTAAATTTTCAACAAGTTAGGTAGGTGCGTTGGTTGTAATATTAAGGTAATATTACGTGATACTTGGGATTATATAATCGATTTAAAAATTTAATTAAATTTCCTAAAACTAATTTCCAGATTAAGTTTGCACTAATTTTTTTATAACTGAAGGTTTAAAACGAATAATAATAATAATCGACAGTGCGCTCTGACTCACGCTCTATAATACAAGTCAAGTAAAATGAAATATAAGATGTTCTTCTTATCAAAGTGAAAAATCTATTTTACAACAAAATGAAAAAAGATCCTTACTTACGAAAAAGAAGAGCTCTTGACAAAATGAATGCGCTTAAATAAAAAAGACATGAAGAAATTTCTTTCTTTAAAAGTAGGTGACCTATGAAAATCAAATTTTCATATAAATGAATAACGATTGTAAAAATATATTCATTCTTTTGAACAACACTTATTCTTTTTTTATCATAAGTCACGTTCTCCTTTTTTGTTATTAAAATAATAATTAATAAAGAGATCTTAACGTTAAAATTTTCGTGCTTCATCAACAATTTATCCAATTTCCTCAATATCTCTCCTTCTCATTTTGCAGAGAGTGGAAAGCGTTTGTCATCGCAAAGCGGAAAGCGAATCCAACCGCGCTCGCCCGTAATAATGATATCTCGTTTTGCGGGGCTGCTGTTGTAACGCAAAACCCTCGACGAGATACTTGAAAAGTAGAACGGTCCAATCGACCGCGAGGAAGGAAAGGAGAGAGCGCCTATATATAATACTGTGGCGTCGGACACAGCGACGACGACGACGACGACGACTGTGTGAGGAGAGTGAGTTTGGTTCGAAACAGGTCCGCATTCAACAGGCCTCGAATCGCTGACCCGGATCCTCGAGGCCGAGACGTCCCGGCTTTTCACGAACCAAATTATCGGACCTCACCCCTTTCACTTCGATCCTCTTTTCCCTACGTTATCAGCAACTTCGACATCCGGGCAACGATAAAAGCACGCGCTCTTTCCTCTCTCTTTTTCTCTTTCTCTTTCTTTCATATATAAATTTTTTCGATATTTCTTTTTGGGCTTTCTTGGACCAGTTGGCATATGTCAAGCTTGTTAAACCAGACTATTTAGTCGAGATTTTTTTCAGAAAAACAATGAGAGAGAGAGAGAGAGAAGACCTGTAGAATGTTAAACGTAACCTCGAATTCACTATGGACTTGAATTTTGTAGAATACTTTTCGAATTTTAACGCTTCTTTTAAAACATAACTTAGAAATGGTAGAAATGGAATTTCCAAACAAAATAATTTTATTGATTTTTATAATTGAATATTTCAAATGTACTAAACGACAAAAAGTGAGTAGTGTGAATAGTGCTTTTTACTAAATGCGATGAACTAAAGGCATCGTAGTCAGATCAACTATATATATTGTACCTTTGTAATGTATGATAATATCTACTGGCGAGGAGAAAAGAGAGTAAGTGGGACTTCCCGGTGGCGTCTTTAAAAGTTCTCTTAATCAAGAATCCAGTAACAATGTTTCTGGATAAGATTGTGACTAATTCATCTCAATTTTTCTCAAGGAATAACAGAATAAAAATTGTGTTATTGTTACATGTTTTCTTTATTCTCTTTGAGGTCAGATTGTAAATACTCTTGCTGAGAATTTCGCGATGTACAAAAAGGCAGGAAGCAACAAGTTTGAGAGGTCGAATGCTCCAGTGCATTCCTCGTTACGAAGGGTTGGCAGAGAGTGGAGGGGGGGGGGAGGAATTAACCCCCAGAACTAGAGAATGGAAGGAAGAAATCGAGCAGCAATTTATCTCGTCCGTGATTTTCTCTATCGATTTCCAACACAAGGCTATTTTTCCTAAAAGTCCTTTCACTATTCCCTCTATTCGTTAATAAATAGTAAAATTCTTCCTAATAGACAATTATTAAAATTTATCAAATTTTTTCTTTGAAAGAAAGAAAAATGAGGAAATTTTTTTTAACAAAAGAACAATTATTTGGTTTAAAAAAAGAATATTCTTTATTGAGAACGCAACGAAAATGCGAAGACGATCCAAAAGTTGGGAAAAACTGATAATTTAACTTTATAAGGTGCGATTAGTCAAGTGTCTGATATTATCCCACCAGTAGTATAAGTAGCGTTGACAAGTTATAATGGGCCAAATTTAATACCGCTTCACTGCGCGCTGTGTGCTCATATATGCATATACATTCATGCTTTCGCATCTCGTAAATCCGAGTCATACATTTGTGCTTTGCAAAATTCCAGAAGCCCAGCATATAATCGGTTGCAGACTGTGTTGGCGAAATTGTTGGCTCGCTTGAATCTTCGAATGAGAAGGATCCCAGTGACGCGTTGCCGGGTTCACGGCTTTTGGGAATTACTACAAGAATTCGTATTAATTTAAATTGTTGCACTAATCCTCGTCAAAATCAACGACCCGAAAAGTTGAAAATATGACAAAAGATCTGCTATTTCCTGTTTTTATCTGCTTAAAATGTAATTCATGACGAAAAATTAATTTCTAAACGTAGTAAACAATTTTAATCTACTGTCCATACACTGGGTCATTTAGACCCGAGATACACTCTTAATTCGTTAAAAGTATTATTTTATAAACGTAGTTGAAAATGACGAGAGAATTATTAGAAAAATCATCCAATTGAATGGTTGGCATAAAAAGAATTCTTTATGCATTAAAACTGTTTTTGAAAATGGTTGAAAATTGGTCGTATCAAATGAACACTATATTATAATACCATTATACTGAGACAAACATCGTATGTTGTACACTGAGACAACAATTGATTCCAGTAGGTAATTTAACATGAATAATCAATGGTCATCGAGGGCCATTGGACGGGCAACATGCAATGAAAGCCCTTGACATCTCCTTAGCAATTCCCTGATTAGCAAGTCAAGAGCACCTGTTAGACGACCTTAAGTCACTTCCCTCAACACCTACAAACATATATCTTACACTCAATTACTCTAATCTCGATGCGGCTCTTGACTCATCGCTAAATCAATTTTGCCTTTGAATCGTTTGGGTACCGCGCCTTCTGGCATGTCATATATCCTGTACGTAGGCTCACATAAGAGGGAATCAATACACGAAGCAACCATCTCTAACCCCTACAATACCACCCTCAACAGCTTCGAGGCCTCCAGCATGGAATAACCTCTTTTCAAACACCCCCCTTCCTCTCATCCCTTTTTCCACACCGTTCGTCCTCACCTTCATATCCTCCACAACCGACCTTATCCTCCTGCTCTTATATACCACCTCCGTCTATATAGTATTGCACTGATGGAAAACTTTATTGTTTTCGAAAGTTTGTCCCATTTTCATAACGTTTTACATAATCTCATTTCAACAGCCCTCTGATATATTTATAACGTTTTCGCGAGATTATTAAATTTTATCTATTTCGTTATCTTAGAATTGAAAAAATGTAGTTATCATATGGATAACCAAAATGCACTTTGTTATATCAATATCTACTAAAAAATATAAATAATTTTAGGAGCATAAATTCATTAAATTCTTTATCAATACTTATTAAACAATTTAAGTTCGCGGCCATTCACTCATGCTTTTGCTGATCATGGAATGGAATTGCTATTTTTTTCAACATCGAAACTGCTACAGACTTATTTTGATTAAATTTTTGTCTTACACCGAATACTGATTTATTAATAGTCCAATATTTGTGGGAAGAATTGGGTAAACAATCCAGCCATAATTATACTTTTTATTGCGTTAATGACTATATTGAGCGATGTTAAATTAAAAGAAACCTGACAAGTCGATTGTTAAACAAATAGAAAAATCCTCTGACCTTTAAAATATCATTATCCCCTATTGACAGTTTAAAAATAAACTTGTCACCTGCGAGACCTAATATCATGTAAATATTTTTATCCAAACTTGTTAACGCCCCCAAGGAGATTCAAATTTCCTCGAAACTTTTTATCTCGACACCTGTGTGCTAAAAGGGCTCAACTTTCCAAGTTGACAGAAGCTGCGCACATTATCTATATACATATATATGTATATAGGGGCAACGGGTGTAAGTAAATAACGACCTGAAATGAAAACTCTCTGCGGAGACCTAATTCTATCAAAAAGTTGAGTTGTCGCGATGCGCCAACTTTCGCAAAGCTTGTTTCTGCTATTTTATTAGAATAAAAATTGACAACATAGTGTACTTTATAAGAGAAATAAAAAAGAAAGAAAGCCATAGAGAAATTGCCAGAAGTTTCAACTCTTGAGATCAGGAAAACTAAATAGATAAATTTTCTTTCTGTTTCGAATAAGTAGATTATTATCACAGTGAATTAATGTTTGTTTTAAAGTAAATCTCGTTTTGTGTATGTCTTGATATAGGAAAGGCGACCATCGGCAGCAATGCGACGGGGACAACGACCACCAGAACGCCACCGCCTACGGCGCCGACGCCCCCAGTGGACCCATCGGCGTCCATTCCAAACGCTAAACCAACTCTCAGTGAAAGGGAATTGATCAGAATCGAATTTTATAAGACGTATGATCCGATGGTGGGAATTAGGATAGCCGCAACTCTCGGTAGCTTTTTCGGCCTAATGGTCATTATGGTGATCTACAAAAGCAGGTATTTCAAAGATGCAATAATTTTTTACACTTTAGAATGTCGTCCTTTTTGGAAAACTGTTATCACAATTCATATGCTCTCTAATGTTGTCCTTTCTTATTTAGACTAAGGTAGAAGAAGTCTTGGTTTTTGGTTTTGTTTCAGAAGCAAAAAGAACAGACAACTCAACGATCCTAGATTAACTGCAGCTGCTGAGGCTGCTGTTGCCGAAGCAGAGGCTGAAGAGGCCTTAGCCGCAGCACTGGAGGCGAGATTAAATCATGGAAGAAGGTCTCTATGTCCAGAAGTAAGGACCAACTTCAAGTTATAGTTTAAAAAGCTTCGCGAAATGTAAAGATTTTAGAATTTCTGAAATCAATGCGGATCTTTGAATCTTCTGATAGTAGACACTTTTTCGGCATCTACATCTTGATGTAGACTTTCTAATTGTTGATCTCCAAAAAAGACTGATCGTTTTATGTTTTTGAGCAGCTGGATCGATTCCCGCTATCGTCGCCTAGGTTCTCATCGATTGGAGGCGGTTACGACGCGTTTATAATGCCACCGCTGAGACGGCAAAGGCGACGAAGATACTCGAAAAGTCCTCCTGAAGATCAAAGAAGGTACAGTTCCGTGACATGTAGCAGTACAGGAAGCAGCTATTTGGAGAGGAGAGAATCAGCTACAACATTGCCTTATCTTCCGCCACCTCCATCCTATCCTCGACATGCACCATCATACGAGGAACCCTGGGACCGTTACCATCACATTGAATATCCGATAGATATTCAGGTATCCATTTCATTTAATTAATTTTATTAATTAGGTATCCTGTCAATTCCCCTACCCATTGAAATTTTTAACACTGCGGTTATCACTTTTGGAAAAAATTACCGTGTGTCTTAAATATATTCTCATCTGAAACTCTCAGGGAAACAAACGCTGCAGAAGCTGATAAACGAAGAAAATTCACACACTGTGAAATATATTTACAACTTGGAATTGTTTTCTCCAATGACCATATTCCCGGAGAGAGATGAACGGTAAACTTGACTAATTAATCATTCTAACTGAACTCGCGTCCCTCATCTCTATTGGACTGTAATCAAGTACAAAATTGTTTACAAGTTTCTTTTACTTGCGGGAGAGAAAATAGAAGCGAAAACTTGGCGCACAAGAGAGACACAGAGTCCAAGTCATCAAAGAAACTTGATTCGTTCGTTTGTTCTCTTTCTCAACTTTAAACATAGTTTGCATCCTTATAAGCCTCCAATAATCCTCCTTCCATTGAGTAACTTCTCAGACTGGAAACTTTAGGTGGTGAACACTATCTCTCCCTCTTCTCCTTTATCTCCATTTCTCTCTTCGGTTAAATGAATTTCTCCATCTTTAAAATACCCTATTGAAAAAAAACACGTATAATTGTACGTATAATAATACGTATTATTATACGTGTAATTATACGTATTATTATACGTATAATTATACGTATAATTATACGCATAATTATACGTATAATAAGACATACGAATTTGAAACAAGAATTATACGTATAATTATACGTATAATAATACGTATAATTAATTATACGTATAATAATACGTATAATTATACGTATTATTATACGTATAATTATAATTCTATTAAAAATAGAATAATAGAATAGAATAATAATAGAATAATTAGTAGCAAAATTGCGCTGAAAATTTTTAGAAATTTTAAAATGCAAATTAAATTTCACGAAAAAAAATATCGTCTAATGTCAATTCAAGCAGTCACCCATCCAAGTACTAACCGCGTCCAACGTTGCTTAACTTCCGTGATCTGATGAGAACTTGTTCCTTCGCCTTGGTGTTTCCGCTGTCTTGTCTTGATTAATAACTTTGTCGTATAAGTATCACTAAAAGTGAGGTGCGATACAATACTTATACGACAAAGTTATTAATCAAGACAAGACAGCGGAAACACCAAGGCGAAAGAACAAGTTCTCATCAGATCACGGAAGTTAAGCAACGTTGGACGCGGTTAGTACTTGGATGGGTGACTGCTTGAATTGACATTCGACGATATTTTTTTTCGTGAAATTTAATTTGCATTTTAAAATTTCTAAAAATTTTCAGCGCAATTTTGCTAATAATTAATCTATTCTATTCTATTATTCTATTTTTAATAGAATTATAATTATACGTATAATAATACGTATAATTATACGTATTATTATACGTATTATTATACGTATAATTAATTATACGTATTATTATACGTATAATTATACGTATAATTATACATATAATAATACATATAATTATACGTGTCTATATTTTATAATTTTAGGTATATATTAATAAACAAAAATATATCCCTATTGAAAAAAAAAAAAAAAAAAAATTATACGTATTATTATACGTATAATTATACGTATAATTCTTGTTTCAAATTCGTATGTCTTATTATACGTATAATTATACGTATAATAATACGTATAATTATACGTATAATAATACATATAATAATACATATAATTATACGTATTATTATACATATTATTATACATATTATTATACGTATAATTATACGTGTTTTTTTTCAATAGGGTAGCTCGTGATCAATTTAAGGTACTAGTCGATTGGTATAGTAAGGACTAGCGTGACAATAACTAATATAGTACTAATATATAACAAGTAGGGTACTCAAGTACCACTCTCTAAATCTGAATCAGTAGAAATTTTACTAATTCAATCAGTACTTTTCATTTTAACTCAAGTTTCAGTTATTTTTTGAAATTGCTAAACGACATAGACAGTGGCGCCACCAACCTGACTCATTTTTGCTGCATATCAAAATGAGTAGCATACGCTATCATTTTGAGTTCAGGTTTTTTCTGTGTATGCACCCGAGGCGAAATTTGAATCCTCTTTAGCTTCCCTTAGAACCTAAATAGGCCCTCTTTACGATCTTGTAGACTCCCGTAGGCCCTCCTTTGAATCCAAACGTGGAAGAAAGGTAAATTTGCGACTGGTTGAGGAAGCTAAAGAGGGTCTAGTTCGATTAAAAAAGTACAAAAAAATGCAAAAAAAAAACTCTTTTAATTATTTTGATTAAAGCAAAATGAATTTTTTCTTCACACAATATTTCTTTAATTACCCTTTAAAAACTGGAATTAACATATTTTGAAGCGTTTTCAAAAAATTAATAGAATTAGAGCAATTTCAAAATTTTCAATATTTTAATCAATTTTTAGACCCTACTTTAAATCCAAACGTGGAAGAAAGGGAAATTTGTGACTAGTTGAGGAAGCTAAAGAGGGTCTGTTTAACTCTACTTTACTCCTTGTAAATTAGGGCTTAAATTTCGCCTCGGGCAAGCAATAGAATATAACTTATGTAAATCAGTAATTTGTATATAACATAACCTTTAAAATGAACTATTAAATCAGTAGATTTTGTGGCCGCCGACATATATTTATATTACTGATTCAATCAGTAATTGATATTTTACTAATTGAATCAGTAAATTTCTACTAATTGGCAGTTGCTCAATTCTCGCTATGGCAATTAGTAGATTTCTACTGCTAATCAGTAAAATATGACTGATTCAGATTTAAAGAGCAGTACACAAGAAACTTTGCCTTCAAGTGGTGTAGACCACTCTGCAAAGATTTGAAAAGTAATCACCAATCAAAAGTGTCGTGAGTTGTTATAAAATTTCAAACGAAACCCTACACCGGTTGTACTGGTTAGTCAAAAAATTTTTGTACTTTAAAAACGGACATCAGTTATCCCGATTTGGTGCAACCTATGCCCCGTATACAGTGCGTCTGATGTCCCTTACAGTGCTTCTGACACGCCAAATCAGGATAACAGTTGCCCGCAACCCATAGTACAACAGTTCTACCGTAGATTTCGCATCTGATGCACCAAAATTTTTTCCGTGTAGATGTGAACGGAAAACATTAATAGAGGCGCCCCCTTTCACTTCATCAATAGTGTCTAAAATGTCGGTCAATGGGATATTATTACTTCTGATTTCTCCCCACCACAGTGATGTACAAACAATGATGCACAGTTCTGTATGAACTAATAAAAAATTATACATGAAAAACAATGACAAATTAAGTTAAACTTTTTAAAGGTGACCCAACCAACGCCGGATATTTCGCCCTGTGATAGTGAGGCTGGCCTCTATACTGCGGGTGCGATCACGGCAAGAGCGCTCGCTTCCGGTAAACGTGCGCCCTTAGCCTCAATGACGAGTGTTGATCCACCAGAACCGGATACAAGGTCACTTGGCTCGGACTCGGTGTTCGTCAACGATGAGGACACCATCGACACTGAGGATGAAGTCTCGGGATTTTCCACCGATTCGGATGTCACGGGATCAAATTATCGTCGACCGCAGTTCCTGAGAGTGCCACCTAGCTCAAGACGTCTTCTTGCCAGGTGGGACGGCTGTGAAAGTTGTGTGCCTCGACGACGACCACCAGCCAGGTCCTGTCGAACCTGTTTGACCATCAGTGCCACCATTGAAACACAGAGACCCAGACTCAGGTATTTCTCAATCATTTTTTATTATTCACACTTCAGTTAAAATCTAATTTTTCATTAATAAAAAATGTATTGTAACTGTCCTTTTACATCACATGTTTTTTTTTACAAAAGATTTTACTAAACCACAAATCTTAAGCGTGAAATTAAAATACTATGAATGTGACATTCTATTTTACCGACTTTATTATTATAATTAAACATTTTTAATGACATTAACATTAAATGTCTCACGTTTATTTTTTCAAAATTCTTAATCGTGGGACTTGATTGGTCAATACTAACGAAAATAATAAGTTTGACATTAGAATGACTAATCAAAAAAAATTTTTTTTAGAAAATATTGCTATTTACTTATTTAAAAATATTCTACTAAAGATATCAAAAAGTCGAAAATTAAAAAAAAAAATTTCTTACAATTATAAATAATTATTGAATTGCCAGACAGTTAATAGGAACCTACAGCAATACGGAATTATAAAAAAGTGGTATATGGACGACTTTTGTATCGCTTTTAAAGAAAAAACACTAGTTGAACAGGCATACCTATAAATAAGGATGAAGCTTAATTTAGAATTTAAGACTTTCTTTTTTCCTGTGTAATGTTGAGAAATTTTTTTAAGTGTAATTTATGAGGGAAGTATTCCCGTTTATCATTTTCATTTATTAGCATTTATGGATTCTTAGTAAAATATTTAAAATGAAGACGATTGCAAAACGCGCGGGAGAAATAAGTTTCTGTAAGGAGATTTAAGTGGCTCTTAAATTGTATACGGCGATATAGAAGTACATCGTAAATTCTCGGAATAACATCCAACGAGATCGAAGAGTTTAGTTTTACTTTCCCAAGTATATGTATGTACATTATCTCTGTGAATTTTTCCTATTTTCGCAATGTAAACAAAATTATTTTCTGTTCGTTGTCGAATAACGCGAAAAAAACATATATGATATTCGACTCTTTTCAATTCTTTTTCAATTATAGTTTTGAATTTATACAGGGACATCTACATTTTTTTCGAATTATTCTTTATAAAGAATATAAAATAAATTATTTAACTATAAAAAAATAAATTATTCAAATTCTAGAACTTGAACGAATAAACCTGGAAAATCGAAATTCATTTTCTTGGAAATCTGCTCCACTTTTATATGTTGCCATCACCGTAGAATACATTCGTTGCATAATATATATACTAAAAAATTAATACTCATGTTTAAGGTTATAGAATAATTGTTATTTGAAAGTGTGATTTTTGACTGCAGGTCAACAATCAGCTCGAGTAGCAGCAGTAGCAGCAGCACACTAAATTCACCACCTCATTCACCGCCGATCGAGCTTAGGGAGAGACCAACAGGGTCCGGGCAACTATCAGAATCGCCTCCACCTCGGTCCCAGGAGACACTCTTTTAGATCCTCGCGTTCCTCAAATAATAAAAGAATTCCCCGAAAAAATATTTCAAAAATAAAAACTAAAAGCAGGAGATGATCCCAGAAGAGTTTTTTCACGACGCGACTCCTTTTTCATTATTTACCCGGATATTTTAAAAACTATGTTATCAATATCCCAGACAGCACGTAAGCTTGCAACAACCTTGCGCCAAGCTTCAAAAGTCCCACCTAACCCAAACCGAAAGATTGCAGTGTAAGGTTACTGCAAGATTGCATGATAAGATTATCGCAAGCTTGCATAGCAAACTTGCACGGTAAGCTTGTGGCAAGGTTGGTGCAAGGTTGCCAATAACCTTGCCCAATCAACACAGAAGTTTGCATTGAAAATGAGCACTATGCGCACTTGCAATCACAAGCACTTTCGGCTGCGCAGTAAATTTTTTTTAACCTCCCAGGAACTGGTGCTCAATGTATGTACAAAAATAAATTTCCTCGCCCCAAAAAATTTTTTGTTATATTCCGCAAGCTTGTTATTGTGCAATCTTGCAATAACCTTACACTGCAATATTTCGGTAAGCTTACCAAGCAAGCTTGGGTCTGGTGGGACATTTGAAGCTTGCGGCAACCTTGCTATCTGGGCGTATATATATATAAATAATTTACACGAGACAATTTTTACCTTGAATAAGACTGTCTCTGACCCCAGTGTCGTTGAACTTTTTTTCCGAAAAAAGCCGAAACTAACATTTTTTAAGCTCTTTCACCATCACACATGATGATTCACAACTCAAAAATCCCAGGGCACGAGTGGCTTTCGCGAATCTCTTATATTTCTCTCTCGAGAGAAGAACGTGCACATATCCTCAATGAAGAAACAGAGTAAAAGTTTCCAATATGAGCGGACATTTGAGAAAACCTGTATACTATGTATGTATGTAACAAGTTTTTTTGAGGACCCAAAATGGGAACAAACCCGGCTTAAGATTCCGCTTAATCGAGAAACGCTTCGCCCTTATATTCACTATATATATATATATATATATATATGCCAACTTGCACATCCCACGTTGACTGATATATTATATATATATATATACGGAAAACCAGGGATTAAACTCTCTCCGTCCATCAGCAAAAAAACTCAAGTGGCGAAGAATCGTGGAATTGTTACTTCTTTTTAGGAAAAAAAGGAAAAAGCGAAAAACACCTTCAGAAAATTGGTTATCTTTTCTTGTGGAGAATAGATTTTATTTTGAGCATTTGGGACGAATTTTTCGGTCTTATGAAAATATTTCGAGGGTGGAGAAAAAGAAAAAATCAGATGCTCTTGAGATGAAAAATTGGTTAATTATTAGAATAACGACTAAATAAAAAATTTGTTGAAAGTGAATTTCAAAATAAAAATTTAAAAGACAGTCATTTTCTTTTGTAAATGAAAACATAACTTTTAATCGGGTCTAGAAATGGATTTTTCACGGTATACGGAGAAGAAAAGTTGCATAATTAATGTATACAATTTGTTGGATTCTGGAGCGCGAGTTACAACATCTGACAGGTTAGTTGCGCTATACAAGAAATAGATAACTCATCCTATTTATTGGATCGCTCTCCAGGATCCAATTAAATTATTATCGTGAACCAAAAAAGTGCAAGACATTTTGGATAAATCTTTCATATGGCTATTTTAAACAAAAAAAATAAAATTCGAACGTGAAAAATATTTCGTTTATTATTATTAGAATCAAATACTGGATGTTTATCGAAATAAAAGGAGTAATTTTTGTAGTAATTGGAAAATTGTCCTTGAATAGAATTGTTTATTCCCTTTAAAAAAGATTACAAGAATTACTAAAAAAGCTTTTAATTTAAAAATTCTCAAGCTTGTAAATATGGCTATACCTATAATGATGCTCTAATTACACCTCATTGTAATCCAAAAGAAAAAAGTTGCACTTTATTATAATGACGCTTCGAGTGGACTTTCAAGTGATTTTCTATCATTGCCACTGAAAATTAAAGCAATCTCCTTCAAGCCTCAGTTATATATATATATATATATATATATATATATATATATATATATATATATATATATATATATATTATTTCACTCGGTATGAAAATGTTCGGTAATACAAGACATTTCTTTAACAAATGGGTTAGAAGTTGACAAAAAACAGAAAAGAGAAAATTAATGCCAAAGAAAATTTTTGAATATAAAATATAAAAAAACATCGTTTTATATACATAAAATATAAAAGGACATTTAGATAATTAAATATTAAAAATTTGAAAATGAAATATGAAAGATTTGTAAATGAAAAACGTTTCAAAAATCAAATAGGTATCCACATTTCTTTAGGTCAAAAGAAAATATTTTTAAAAATGACTTGCAGGTTAATAATGGATCCATTATTGCCCAAAGGTAATAATGAGTGTCTATCCCACTTCCTCTCAAAAAAAAATGAAGAAATAAAAGATGATAATTTCGATTTAAGGTATATGCACTATTTTCACATTAGAAAAAAAAATTCATTATACTCGTGCCTAATTTTACCGGATCTGGGAAAGAGCGCGTCCAAAACAAGCGCAACGAATGACAATTGAAACTACAACCCAGAAAAAGAATATTAGTTAACCATCTCGCCCGCAAACGAACATACAAGAATCGCACAAGAAAAAGAACAAGTTTTTTTTATTAATCGACAAAACGAGGAAATAAATAATAAGTAAAATAAATTTTTAAAAAATGAAAATGTAATAAAGATTTAACAACGGGACTTCTCCTTCAGGTTTTACCTGCGAGTGATAAAGAGATTTATTAGGGTGGAAGATAGGCAATTATTTTTATACGATCGTGATGATAATCTGTGAACTTATACAAAACAAAAAGAAAGAAAAGACTCTGATCAGAGGCGGTGACGAGAGTCTGAATAAATTAAAAAAAATTGAATTATTCAAAATAAAAATCCGGTTTAATTCCGGGCCGTTTTTTTGTTTATAGAAAAAAAAATAAAAAATATATACATATAACTGCGATAATTGCGAAATGTTATTGAATTTCTCGAAAATAATACAAATTAGTTGTATATTTTTATTTTAAGTAGGTATTTAAAAGACTCATTACCTATTTTTTAATAATAAGTATTCTTTGTTTTCACACTAAAAGAATTTCTAAAAACATACTCGAGAGTAATTTTCAGGACTTTTTGTTAATTGTTATTTTTTTGAGAAATTCAAAACTTAAAAAAAGTAAAAAAATCAGGAAAGATATTCAGATTTTCACTATACGTGTATATTATATTAAGCGATATGAAAATTAAAATTTGAGTGTGCGTGTACGTGTCTATAATTTTTGCGTACGGTAGGTAGGTACCATGTACTGCTGCACTTATTATACAATTTAAATAAATAAATTGAGAGTGGGTATCTTATATATCCATTATAAAATTTATAACAAATGAGTGCAATGAGGAAAAAAGATGCATGTTATCGAATAATTTCCCCACTACTGTTAAAAAGAAATTTAAAAAAATTATGTAAAGGAAACATTATAAACTTAAAAAAATACCCATCACACTCGAATTATTCGTTTGCTCAGGAATAGTAAAACTTTTATGCTTCCGAGAGAAATCAATTAACATATACTAATACATAAATAGTGAAATAATCTCCAAAGTCAATAATTGTGCATTTAAAAAGTGTCTCTTTATAATAAAAAAGATCTCGTTTAACAACAAAAAGAGTTGATATAATTTGTGAGTAATTAAATTTGTATCTCAAATCGATAAGAAAATAGTTATTTTTGATTTTACGCACGTGTGTAAAACTTTATTTTTTGCAATACCTATATCCATAATGTTGAATTCAGAAAACTACAAAAATAATAAATCAAATGAAATGAAAGACATATAAAATAGTTAAACAGGAATTAAAGTTGATTAGAAAATTTAATTGCTATTTAATTTTTTAAGTTTTATCTTCTTCACTTATTGTGTAAAGAAATCAATAGTTTAGCGTGCATAAAATTCAACTTTACAGGTGGGTATTGAAAAAACCTTTTTTATGGAGAAAGAATAATAAAAATATGGAATTAGAGACAACACTTAAAAAGTCTTGGATAAATTTCCTCTATATGACATTTATAGTAGCAGTTATGAGTTTTATGGTTACATTGTAAGTCTGCCCAATCAGCACGAAAAATTTGCAGGAAGCTCGCCGTACAAGTTGTGCAAGATTGTAGTGCAAACATGTAGCAAGTTTGGTTCGAGTAACAAAATGTCCTCTCACGGCAAGATAGTTAAAAAAAAAATTTTTAGAAACAATTTGTTTCTAAATAAACATAAAGGCACCCTGCTTTGAAGGTTTAAAAGTTTTATTTGATAATAGTCAAGTAATCGAGTATTTGAATCAAATAAACAAAACATTGAATAAAATAATTTTCCTTTGTTTCAATTTCTTTTTTTTGCGTGACGTCTTACTCCGAAAACAGGAAATTATAAGTCGTATTTTCGAGACTTTTGTGTCATTTGAGGTCTATAATCGCTCAAAATTCTACTTACACAACTCCCCGCAACAAATTTTTAGCTATGAAACTTAGTCAGTGAATTTTTGTTTTTTTTTTTTAATTTGAATTTTGTGTTTAATTTATTAGAAGCTTTGCTTGTCCTGGAATTTAAATTGTGAGAAATAAAATGTTGTTTTTTTATACATGACGAAAAAAGGGGTTGAGGAATTGTACAAGACTTGCTTTGATTTCTTATATATGTATATCTTGGCGCATATTCTCGAAGGACTTGTTCTTTTTTTAGCCACTGTCGTCATAAAAGTAGAAACGAGAACATTCTTATCTTCATCTTTTCCTCCCTTTCTCTCAATTCCTGCTCGGAGGGTGTAAAATAAATTACATGTAGTGTGAGGTTCGTACAAAACACTTAAATAATACATTGTGTAACTAGTGGTGAAAGTGAGTGATTTTACGAGAGTGAACTTGTATGACGACACTCGAAAAAAATTATTCTTTCACCAACGCCTTGTGGGGAAATGCATTTTCATATATTTTTTATAATTTTAACTAATTTGGAGA